AGAAACACATTTATAAAATTTCATTTTAATAACGTAACGAAATAGATAAATAAAAGTATGAGTATATTTGATTTTTACTTATTTAATTTTTTATATTCCAATTTTTACTTTTTATATTATTTTAATTTTAAACAAAATTTTTGTTTACGATCAAATGTAAGTTATACATTTTAATTTATTATCGTAAAAAATATTTATACATCAACTTTAATAGAAATATATTGTACTTTTTCTTTTTTTCCAATTTATGATTTTTTGTTTTAACACTAAACTACTATGGAATATTTATATATTCGATATATAATTATATATATCGATATATATATTTATTTATTATTATAATATTATTATTTATTATTATTATACTATTATTATTATTATTATATATTATTTATTTATTTAATATAATAAATTTATTATTATAATCATTATATATATGTGTGTACAATAGGATCTTGTCCAAAGTGTGATCAGTAGACAAACGAGGTGTATAAATCAGGGTTCAATCGATAATCGAGACTAAGGTGTAATTATCGATAGGATGAAATTAGGATATAGAGGTCCTACTGTATATATATAGAAAATATGTATACTTGTAATGATTTGTACTACTGATAAAATTAGTTTACTTAACGTTAAAAAATAAAGAAAAAAGAAATAGAAGAGAACACGTTTGAAAATAACAAATTGATTTGGTAAGCTCCGAAAGCAAATGAATTTTCTTGGATAGTTTCGTCTCGTTGAATTACATTACTCCTACTACTATCTTTAACCATTCCAAACTAGATTTCAAAGTTCTTACTTGTTTTTGACAAATCTGATCTACTTAAACATAGGTAAACTTCGTAGGACACGTATTCCTCAAGTTTTAGAGTATTCCGAATCCCATGAAATACATTTACATATGTACTATAAATATACTTATGTATTTACATGTAATAGGATAATCCGATTTCATATCCGAGAATAAATGATAGTTCATTTTCGATTATGATAATAACTTATTCACAAATAAGATCTAAATTTTAATTAGAATTAACGTTTACAATTGATGTTAAGTCTGTTTATTAAAAGGAAAGAGAAAGAAAAAAATAAAATTAAATGAACAGTAATCTAAATCAACCCTTTTAGTTAAATTTGCCTGTACTATACGTACAAGTTATAAATAAATAAATAAATAAATAAATAAATAAATAAATAAATAAATAAGTAAATAAATAAAATAAAACCATGACAAAAGTTTTGCTGCAAAATTTGAAAGGAAGAAAAAAAGACCTATAAAAATAATTAGAAATACGAGTAAAATGTGTAATAGAGGTAATATGGGTTGATATAAAATAAAAAATAAAACCTTCGAAAAAAACAACATAACGATAGAAAGAATCGATCGATTAGAAAAAAAGTCTTTCGCTCTGATAATCATAACGCATGATTACCATTTGCCCCTAGGTTGCGGGCGTATACGTAAAATACACAATGTACACATAGGACACGTTCACACACACACACACACATATATATATACATACATGTGCATATTAGTAAACTACACATACATATATATATATATATATATATATATATATATATATATGTATGTATGTATGTATGGATGTATGTAAACTTGTAGTAAAATAAGTAGCTTAATATGCCTAGCTATATATACATGAGTGTATGTGTATATGTATGTGTATATGCGTACTTACGTACTCATATACGTATTCATATGTAGTATTAAACGTAAACTCGCGCATTAGTCTCTCGCAGAAATTGATGCAACGCGTATATCGGAAGAGGAATCCAGATGTTTGCTAATGTTTGCCTTGGAGCAACGGTAATTAGAAACGTACTTACAATTAGTATGAGTTACACACTTGGAAACACAAGAGTTTGCGTTACATATGCTTCACTGCACGTTCATAAGTCACTGGACATCCGATAAATATGAATGTGTATGTGTATATACATTATTCCATTTCCTATTGGATATCGAGGAGTATTATCGATTAACAACTGTTCATTCTCTCAAACTTCCTGTTTTTCTTATCTTATTTATCTTAATTGTACCGTATATCAAGCAGGAAAAGTATACGACTTATTTTTTTCATGTATATATAATTTATATATGTATTATTTTCGCGTTTGATAAAAATATGAGAAATATCTTATTAACCAATTTAACTCGACTCGTTATGGCATAGTTCTTTTCTTATTATTTTATTTATAAAAATTAGACACATATATATTCAATAATTTGTATCTTTTAGAAAATGTAATATATATATATATATATATATATATATATATATATATATATATTTTTTTTTTTTTAAAGAAAATTATTCATAATTACTGCGTTTGTAATGATAATATATAAAAATTACTCACATTCTTGTTTAAATGTGAAGTATTCCGTGAGATGACGACACTCATGGTTACCTCTGAGAAGGAATAGTGTCGTGGGATGGCACAGTTTCAGTGCCCAAAGGTACAATACGCACTGAAAATAGAAAAGAACAAAAATATGAAGTAAAATGACTATGGTATGCTCGTATTTACAACGCAATGCGACATGTAAATGTATGCACATTATTAACTGTAATAATAATAATAATATTAATAATAATAATAATAATAATAATAATAATAATAATAATAATAATAATACATGGTAACAGTAGTAATAGCAGTAGTAGAAGTAATAAAAATAAAACAAAAAATAATAATAATAATAATAATAATAATAATAATAATAATAATAATAAGAATAATAATAATAATAATAATCTACCAAGTTGAAATTAATTTTCATCCGAGCATTTTCTGTCCTATTTCTCTCTTTCGTTCTGAATTTACGGATCGACACGTAATCCACCGAGTTTCTAACGTTAAATAAATTTTCGTTTGTTCTTTTGAATCATAAAAGAGAGAGAGAGAGAGAGAGAGAGAGAGAAAAGAATACTAACTATGCGAGGCGTGAAATTGACTCATCAGCCATTAAAATGAACAAATGTGTATCGTTAAGAATGTTATTTCGCTAAAAATTCATATAACGAAATATATTATTACCAAATGACACGCACCTCATTTAAAGTATGATAATAAATTCGTTTGTTAGATATATGAGACAGTTTTGTATACAAGTTAGACCATTAAGTAAGGTGGATGATAGTTTTCTAGACGAAAATAGATGTGATAGACGACAAAACGTCAAGGAATTTCGTCGTGTAGTTGGCTTTTTTTTTTTAATTTTTTTTTATATCTTTGTAAGATATGTATGTAAGAAAATCTAAAAAGATAATATAAAATGTAAAGAGATAGACAAAGAGACAGCAACAGCAGACATAGGATAAAGAATAGGATAGAGAAAGAGAATACATAAAATAATGTCACGTGTCTCTATGTGTGTGTGTATTTGGCACAAGAATGTATAATATTTATATTCAACCACGATTTTCAGTTTGAAAAAAAAAACAACACAACTATAACAGTAGCAGCAGCATTAGTAGCAGTATGTGTTGTAAGGTAGGGGTAACAACAGTAGCAATTGCAAAAAAATAAGAGAGAAAGAGAGAGAGAGAGAGAGAGAGAGAGAGAAAGGTAGACAGAGGAACTCGAGGGTACACCGCAATGCGCAATTGCGCAAAACATTGCAGGCTCGGATTAAATGTCCCATGATAGCAACATGACTTCTCACGAGCTAGTGAGCCGTGTGTTGGCATAAGAGAGAAAGTAAGATAAAAAGGGATTAACATATACGTGAGAGAAAAAGTAGGAGGGAGGGAAAGAGACAGACAGAGAAAGAGAGAGAGAGAGAGAGAGAATAAAAGAGCCAAACGTTTACGTGACAGTGAAAGAGTGAATTACAAATAAACTCATATGTATGTACGAGAGAGAGAGAGAGAGAGAGAGAGAGAGACAAAGAGAAACATATAGTATATATCTGATTATGAGAGAGAAAGAATGAAAATAAGAAAAAAACATTGAGAGAGAAAAAGAGAGAGAGAGAGAGAGAGACAGAAAACACGAATATGTTTCTCACTTATTTTCTCCTCTTTCTCTTTCTGTTATGCGTAGCCCGATTTCCAAGCTTTCGAACACAAATAAAAAGAAAAAGAAAAATGGGTAAAAAAGAGAAAAAGTGAGAGAGAGAGAGAGAGAGAGGGAGGGAGAGGGAGAAACACACAGATTCTCACGAGTATACACAGTCGAGTTCATTTTTCGTTACGTCGGAGCGAAGATATATATATCTCTATATGTGCATACGTTGCATGAAAATCAATGCAAATGGTACACACATGTAGGAAACCAGTTCAGCAATCGTGCCAAAATTACAAAACTGGAGTAGGTGGGTGGTAGATAGGTTACACGTAATGCGAAAAATCACGAAGAATATTCTATTTGTTATTAAACGCGTCAGAGAATTTAATATTATAAATAAAATTATTCTTTTGAATTTGAATTATTATCGGGGTGCAATTAAAAAGTAAAAAGAAAAAAAGAAAAAGGATATGTGGGGTTAAGGGAGGGGGCTGCAGCTTTGTGAATTTCAATCTGGATAGAAATTAAAACTCGGATTAACTTACAATCGTTCTAGTTTCTTTTATTCTCTGTGTGATTTTATTTTCTTACTTATTTTCTAAGGCAAACAATTTAGATTGAAATTCTGACGACTCTTAGAACAAACTTGTTATACTTTTTTACTATGTTTCTTATTTTGCTAAGCTTAATTAATGATATAATCAGCGACAAATAGTAAAATAGAAAAATGGTTGAAAATATGAAAAAGATTTAAGAATTCATTTTTTTTTTTTCATTCTTTTTCAAACCAAGAACTTTTTCTTAACACTCTTACATCACGATTTAATAGATCACATCGACAAAGTTATAATTCTTTTACCACTACAATGAAACTATTATAATTTAACAATGCCATTACCGGCAAATTGAAAAATGGTAACGAATTACAAATGAAAACGAGTTATAAAATTAATTTGGACAAATATATATTTTCTTTTATCTTTCGAAGCCAAGGAATTATTATAAAAAATTCCTAAAATATAAAAAATATTCTTTTATATTATAGATAGATAAAATAATAAAATTGTTATATTATTTTTAATTTCACATATTTGTTGTATCCCATTACGTTAGATAAACTAGTCAGTACATTATATAAATATATTTTTGTTTAGTAGAAATATTATATATATAAATTTTATATTATTTTTAATTTCACATATTTGTTGTATCCCATTACGTTAGATAAACTAGTCAGTACATTATATAAATATATTTTTGTTTAGTANATATGAAGGTTAGTATAGACAAGAGGATCGTGCGAAAAGTTGACTGTACTCGTTGAGAGAATCGATACGAAATGCGGCCCATCTTTTATTCATCGCAATGTGTACGCCAGCGATACGAGCTCGAACCAACGTCGTTGGAGTGGTGTCGTGGATATTAATGCAAGAAGTGCAGACGTGCATGCGTGTGGACACACATAACACATACACACACATGCACGCAAGCACGCATATAAACTCGCAAACATACATATATGTTACCACGAAGAACATACTCCATCAAGATTAGGTAGCGATCGTTGAAAGCATATGGCATGCGTGCCTACGTATGTAACCCGGACAATACCACAATACCGTACCCGGAGAGAAATCATATATTCGTTATTGTGTTGGTCACGCTAACGATAATTACCCTATGGAACTTCATTTTCGATTTTCAACTTACGTACATTATAATAATTATTGAAATTTTATTAATATTATGTTTTGTATATATATACTAGGTATATTAGTACGTTGAATTCGTATTCATAAGAGCTATAATACTGTAAGGTCAAAAATATAGGGTGTCATTTAAAAACAATAAATGTAACCTTAAAAAACATTAAAAAAAAATTTTATTTCAAAATTTTTTTTATTGCAATGTATAGTCAATCGAAAATAAATCAACTTTTTTTTTAAGTATTTAAAGTATTTTTTTGTCAGCTCATCGCAAATACTTGGAAAATCGTGAAAAGAGCTATATGGGACAACCTGTATAATATATGAAATATATATTAAATTGTTATTAAGTCTACTTTTTGCTTATAATTTGTAATATATATATATATATATATATATATATATATGGGTGGGTCAAAAAAATCAGTCATTTTTTTTTACAAGTGCCACGGAAAAATGGGTTGCTAGACACCTTAAAAAAACTCTCACCAAATATGAGCTCTTAATTTTAATAGGAAGATCCTCCACATCGCAGTTTTTTATTTTTTTCTCAGTCCAATAGAATAAAATTCATACCTCATCATTAAGTGATTGTACAGAAAAATGTTTTTGAAGAATTTTGTAGGAAATTTAATACTCTACAAAAAAGGTATCTTATATTTTTTCCGTAAACCTCACCATTTGAATGATATGGAAGATTTAATTTTGATTATTTTAAGACAAATTTCATTTTTGTTTATGAATTTTATAACTCGACAATAAATAACTATTATAAAATGCTCAATACAAATTTTTGTAGGAAATTAACTGCTCTATAAAAATGATGAATATTTTTTAATCGCCAAAACATAAGACACCATTTTCATCATTCAAATGGTGAGGTTTACGGAAAAAATATAAGACACCTTTTTTGTAGAGTATTAAATTTCCTACAAAATTCTTCAAAACATTTTTCTGTACAATCAATTAATGATGAGGTATGAATTTTATTCTATTGGACTGAGAAAAAAATAAAAAACTGCGATGCGGAGGATCTTCCTATTAAAATTAAGAGCTCATATTTGGTGAGAACTTTTTTTAAGTGTCTAGCAACCCATTTTTCCGTGGCATTTGTAAAAAAAAAATAATTGATTTTTTTGACCCACCCTAATATATATGCAAAAATAGGCTAAAATGTCTTGAATTTATTTTTTTCTAAAAAGTTTGGAGAGACTATGTCAAAAAATAAAAGTGAACTTCATCAAAGATAAAATGATTATTACGTAAGGCTTAAAACTTTTTAACTAATCCACATATACATAAACATTATATATGCTTCAAATATTTTGTTTATTACTTAATGAATATGTTATGTTATATTATATTAATAGATGCATGTAAAAATTTTATTTTTATATTTTAGTATATTCATATTTTTTAAATGACAATATATGTTATTGATTTGATTTTAAGCAAAATCTTTATTCTAATCTTAATATAAAATAATATTTTTTCTAAATTTCATAAATTATTTACATTATTTTAAATTACCGACACTCTGATTTATACTATTTTCTTGTGTTTCGTTTTTTTTCTATTTGTTCGTTTTCTTCTTTTTTTCTTAAGACAAAAATTATATGCTACATTTACATGTTACAGTTAGCGATTTCAAATAAGAGAAATATCCTCCTACCCTCCTTTCTTGTATATACAAGAAAGTTTAACTTTAAAACTGTGTTATAAGAAAATGAATAAATACATATTTTAAAAGTGG